GAAAATGAAAAGAGTCTGAGATTGGTGAAATCTTCCCAAACCAAACATATGGGGCTTGGCTGTGAGTAGAAAATTACACCTTTCTTTTCATGTGGGTCATGGTTTACTGCTTACACTACTGATAACTATTTCCGCATTAAGTCTATGTAACCAACTGCTTGGTTTTATTTATTATTTTTATTTCCTAAATGAGCTGACCTTAAATATGAGGATAAAAATCATCAGTCGACTTCAGTCAGACAATAACTGATGTCAGTCATTAACGAAGACACTTGTATAAATGAAATGTACGGAATAATCAAGAACTATTTTATTCTCTTCGGTATATTGTCATGTAAATGCAATCGGATTGGTTTTTCTTTCTTTTTTTCTCCTGCCTTATAGACATTTTAAATCGGAAGAAAATCGCTGAATTTATCATCATTACCGACAAAACTTTGACGTTTGACCAAATATGTTCAACTTTTTGTGAAATAATTGTCAACTGCGTGATGTAACATCTTCTAATCCAGCTACCTACAGTATTTCTTGACCCTGTGATCAGTATGGTTCATGCGGATTTTTAAATTGATAGTTCTTCTTCAGATTCCACCTGAAGTTCAAAAAATGCATGATTTGTGCACTGCTTTACACTGTTTTAAGTAAGCAGTTAACGCGTGCTATGCGTATTCATTTCAGTTCACAGTTATTCTGTGTTGAACTAAAAGAACATGCTATTACTGTTGAATAATTAGTTAATCTCAAGGGAAAAGAATAAAGTCTAGGCTATAACGCCTCCTCTGAGTAGTACTTTGTTATAGTGGGACCTAAGTCAGTGTTTATTCAGCTATCCAACTAACTAACCTTTCCTCACACTTACGTTAGTGGTGAAGCCGTTGCTGGGAACGACAGTCAAAGCTTCTTAATTAAACTTTCCGGCTCAAAAAACATAACTACGTAGTCATAAATCTCCTCCTCCTCCTCATAATGTTCAAAATAATGCATATTATGTCTTGCATCTGCAAATTAACCTCGAAGGAGTAATGATTTTAGAACAAGGATTTCAGTTATGAGATTGCTGGTAGTCTTCATTTCCGTTCATTCAGTCAACCTGTGATCTAGCATGAAACCAATCAAATCCCTAAAAACTAAAACTTGAAAATTAACCTGATGCTTACTAGTGATTGCCTACAGGATTAAGTTGTATGCAGCTCAAGTGAAAAGTTGTGACTAGCAAATACTCGCCGACGACTTTAGCTGGCGGTGGCGCTATCAATAGTGAATTGGTGAAACTTAGAATTCATGTGCCTTTGGATTCCATCCCAGTGTTTGAATGGACAGCGGGCTCACCCCATAAGCTGCAGATCCTCTATTTGATTTTCGGTGAGGTCATGGATACGTACTGCTGAAAGAATTAGGACAAAAAAGATTCCAGTGCTCCCTGGTTCTCAGTAGATCTCTAACTAACGCCAGTCAACGAACTAATGTGAAATCAGAGAAAACATTTGTTATCTGCTGCAAATAGTAATTACAGGATTGTGCTGACACCCTGGAAGACGATTTTAAATCATTCATTTACCACTATATTGTACTGGCTCTGTACCGTACTGCTTCATTGGTGAATAAATAATAAACAGGAATGACGTATTACTAGAAGCATGAAAACGGTCATAAAGAATGAGTTATTCTTCTTCTCCATACGTTACTATTTAATAGCACTAGGTTTTAGCATAATAATGAACTAGCACTACGTACATTATATTGTCTAGTGATTCAGTTGCATTTCAGTATCTGATTATCAAGGCTCATAACATAGTAAAGGTTGAAGTTCATAAAATCCATCGCATATACTTCAACATTCCACAAATATTCAAACCTATATTCGCGGTCAATTTCGTTTGGAAATATAACTTGTATGGAAGCAAGAAAGTGTGCAGATGCGACGAAATCTAAATATGAATTTTGCTACCAGTCATATTTATTATTTTATTCTCAAAAACCCCAAGAACATTTTGAAAACCTTTTGTGACTTTGAAAAAAAAAGATTAAAACATTTGTAAGACAAGAGTTAAGCTACATAAAAACATTTAAGGACATGATAATTGCCTTCAAGGATTGAAATTTCGGAAAGAAGATACTTGAGGTGATTCATGAAGTGGGAAATGGCTTCTGCTGAACTTCACTTTCGCATCGAATCTAGTTGCATAGGTTTCCTGAAGGTCTAAAGGAAGCCATTTTGTGATAAGAATAAAACTTGTGCACTGTGGTAGAGTATAATTCCATTATGGGTCAAATTTATTTTTATAAGGTCACAAAGTGTTAAACAGTAATATTTACTGATGACGTTTCGAGCACAATTTATTGTTCATAATCATATCAATTAACACAACATAATTCCATTATTTTCAATCACTTGATTTGATTGGTAGTAGTATTTTCCATGTTTCCGGCATGAGTGATGAGTCATTCCCATTGAACGTGTTGGGTGCAGACTCGATGAACAAGGATTCAGCAACCAACCTCTCTCTCTCCACCTACCTAGATTACTTTTTAGAATTTTAAGCCTCTCTCATCCTATTGTTTGGGTGTTAATGCATACAGTGTAATCGTTGAGCTTTTTTCTAAATTACTTGTCTTCACAAGGTCAACCATTCGAACCTTTGCTAAATTCTGATGTTCCGGCAATCTGACTACACCCGACCTACTAGTTTGACCTATTTAATTGACCTCACAGTCATTACAAGGTATTTTGTAAATTATATTATTTTGTCCAATTGGGTCAACTGGGTCCTTTAACCTACAGAGCTTGTCCCTGAGTGAGTTTGTAGGTTTAAATACCAGTCTAATTCCTACGTAGGGTCTCAAATGTCCCCTCCTGTTGTACTATATACACATACATATATATATATAAAATGGGCTGGAAACGTCATGAGCAAATATTACTGTACAACACAGTGAGACTTTATCAAAATAAATTTTACCCATAATGAAAGCCATTTTGTGTATACATATGCTATGTGTTGATATGACAGACGACACCTTGGTAATTAATTCCTGCCTCTCTTTCTCTACCTAATTGTAAAACTTTTATACACTGTTACTCCATCTCAACTTATGGTGTGACTATGTCAACACATTCATAGCAGTGGCAAAGATTTGTTCTAGATTATACATCCTAGGAAGGTTTGTTATTCTAAATTGAGCTAAATTCCTATGCTCCAACTGACTAGGCTGTTTTATTTAAATGGCCTCACAGTAAATTTAGTAGATTAAATTGTTTCGTCCAATTAAGTTAATCAGATCCCTGAGCCGATAAATTTCGCCAGCCTCATAAACAATCCGGCATAAGTTTTCAGATGTCTTTCGCTAAAATAACACCGACATGAAGACTTCAAATACCTTAGTAGCAATTTTACGACCAATAAGCATATTGCTACTCTTATTTTACCTATGATATTTTGGAAATTTCCGCACAAAACCTAGTTTGTATTTAGCAGTAGCAATATCCCACCAATATGTTCGATTTTATTTTTTGAATTCACTAAATCCGCATTTGGACTCTTGCTTCCATTACTTGAACACTTAAATAAACCCGACTTAATTGATATCAGGTAATGTCATCCTTATTTGAAGCTATTGGCAGAATGTGGTGGATTTTATAGAATCCAATATCTACAATCCTTCTTGTTCTCGTTTTGTTTCGTAGTTTAATGTAGATAATTCACATTTTCTTATTTGAAGGTGAGCTGGATTCCAGTTATTATTTAGTTTACCCGTGTAAGGGAATTCTGGATATGGTCAGATTTTTACAGACTGTATTTGCCAACCAAATGTCTTTACCGTAGATTAGGTGAAGAATTCCACCATCCAAGAGTCAGACGTTCTCAACTTGTCATGAAATATATGTGCTGGAATTAGGGCTATTGGTGATCTGACTGTCAATAGTTTTAATGGCTTCTAATATTTTTGTAAGGCTTTCCAAGACTTCCTTAACCTTTCAGGCCTACTAGCAAACTTTACTTGTAGACTGAATGAAATTTATTCATCAAAGAAACTAGAAATTCACTTCACTATGTAGCGCGCTAGTATGAATTACTTATGAGAATCAACTCATAGTGGAAGCTTTAAGTTATTACTTGCACTTTGCTCCACGCCTCTTCGAAAGATAACAGCCTCTACGTTTTGAACTATAAGAATACTTTTCCACAGTTTCAAATGAATTAATTGTTAAATTAACTACTTCAGTAATGATATTTGTTTCTACTGTGGGATTCATTTTCCGAATGGGAAATAGTGTTAGTAGTTTTCATTCTAAGGTCGGTTATATGTGTATATTTCTAGGAATATGTCTTTCTTTCATTCTTTTTTCCTTATCCTTACACTCTCATAAATGATCACTTAAAGGGATTATTATTATTGCTGATTTTAATAATAATAAACACTTTCCAATAATAATAATAATCTTTTCAGTTAGATATAGATTGAGTCCTTTTGCAAATTCAAAGCGTAGCACATTTAAACTGAAAAACAGTCAATAATAAATGCGTCGCCCAACTAGTATTCATATATTTGCCTGCTGCGTAGATTATGTTCAATTATATACGGTCATTCACAATGTGTATAACAAGCTATATAAATGTTATTTGTAGTCTCAAGCATACTACAGAATTATATATATATATATATATGTAAATGTGTGTGTGAAGTCTTCTATGACCATTTCATTTTAAATTGGACGTAGAGCCAACCAATTGACAATAACAAACTATAACTGTCCACTTCCGTTCTACATGTTAATAATCCGAAATTTGTGTTTAAAGTCTATTGACCATTATTACGACTACTACTGCTTTTATTTCTCTAAAAGCAAATACACACACACACACAGAGTACATACAGTGCATAGAAAATCACACTTGAGCACAATGGTAGACGTACACACGCAAACACACACCTATATACACATGCTCAAGGAGCATTATAAGCACTCCAGGAACACTCATTGACACACTCACTTTACACAGATATACACAAATGTCCCATAATGATTTGTAATTGGTCATGGTTAGGGCAATTATATTTCTTTCAATTATCATTAATTTCCTGCATAAATAGCATACCATAGTTTGACTTTAATATTTCAACTGAAATAGTATGGAAGTAATAACTTCAAGTGACCAACTCCGTCATAGATCGAATCAGCCAATATCTTCATTATACAATGCAAAACAAAAATTTCAAGCTTTAAGCAACAACAGTGAAATACCGATAACTGCTTTTCCTGTTGTACACGAAAGTCGATCGTCTACAGTGAATATGCGGCATATTTCTACACCATTCACCTATTCACAGCCATCCAGTTCAACATTGACGACGACAAAAGCAGCAACAGAGACACTGTCTTCTTTCTCCTCTTCTCCTTTATCAGTGAATACTTTTTCACCTAATTCTTCTTCACAACCAACGAGTTACCCAGTGAATGAACCAGACTGTTTAGTGATTCTTGATATCTGTACCTCTGGTAGACAGCACGATGAAACAGGCTCGGATGAATATCCGATAATATTGTTGACTGCAAGAATCCACAATTTAAAACAATTTGATGTAAGTGTTTGAGAAATTGCTTTTTTAAAATTAAAAAAAAAATTCGACTCTGTGTTCATGTTTCAGACATTGCTTGTTTGTTTAATTCTGACAATGAGTTTTTGATGATTGATGTTATCTGAGTTGATTACTGAATAGTGATCAGTATCACGTTTCATTTTGTCTCTATATTGGATTTTGTTGTGTGTTTGTAGTCGATTCAGTGTTGATGTTCATGCCTTTAATAATGTATCACGCATAAATTGCACATCTGTTTGTTTATTGCAAAATAAATGTTTCGCTTAGATAAGTCCCTTTTAATCGACCGTTGTCGGTTATCTAGCCTTCATGATATGATGTCATCACACTTGAACAAAAATAATAAGTCTTTCTTGCCTTTATTCGCACTGAATATATAAGGCATGCTGCTAGACTATTTAAATTCATTAAGAATAAACGCATCCAAATTTGGGCTCGCTTATAATACAGTGTGTTAGAATAACTCAGAAACGTGTCTTGTATCGTTAGGCATCTCTTTTTTCAGTGATTCAGTGTTACCTTACTCCTTTTATAATGCCAATTCTCAGTAAACTTCTTGGTGCATTCCAGAAGACTTTAGAGCAAAATTCGAGTCAACAAAATTAGGACACTAACAAAAATAATACGGACAATCGTATAGCATCTCGTTCAAAGCGCTTTCATAACCGTTTTCCCATAAGCTTTCTTCAAACACATGATCGACTTGATCAGCTTTCTAGTGAACATATTGATTCTGACAATTTTGGACTAGATTAAGCTAATTCTCTTGACTGAGTCTCATTTGAGATTTTGCATTTTCACTGTGAAACTAACTCATCTCGATGAAGAATTTTTTTTGGATGCTATATAAACTTTTGACCAAATAATTAATGGCCAGAAGTTTGTAACGATTGATTCCGTATACCACCCCATGAAAAAGATGTAAAGTTAATACGCTTTTCATTTAAAGTCTAATGAAAAGAATTTAGAGGACACCGAGAGGATATTTTGGCTATTATGGGTAAATTTTTATTTTTATTTTGATAGAGTCTCACAGTGTTATACAGTAATATTTACTGATGACGCTTCGAGCACAAACTATTGCTCATAATCATATCAAGTTACTCACACACTTCTTTCCTTCATTTATATACATGTGTGGAATCGACTAGATATTGGATTAAAATTCAATATGAGATAATGTACATTCAGAAATAATAGTACGAGTGTTATTAATCCATTGCAATTAGATGGGAAATACGACGAGTGTTTTTTACAGTCATAATAAGTTGATTGTTAGAATGTTATGATGTGCTTGAATGGAAATAGAATTTTAAGACTATTTATCATCTTCTGATTTGACTGTCGGCAATAATATCTTCCATATTTCTGTTATTTGCATTGAGTCACTTCTGTTGCATGTGTTGGGTGTAGATTCGATGAACAAAGATTCAGTAATCAACCTCTCTCTCCACCTACCTAGATTACTTTTTAGAATTTTAACCCTCTCCCACCCTATTGTGTGGTTGTGTTTTAATGCATGCATTGCGATTGCCGAGCTTTTTTCTAAATTACTTATCTTCTCTGCGTCAATCATTCTTATCTTAGCTAAATTCTTATGTTCTGACAATCTGACTACCCCTGACCTACTAGTTTGACCTATGTAGTTGACCTCACAGTCATTGCAGGGTATTTTGTAAATTATATTATTTTGTCTAATTGGGTCCACTGGGTCCTTTAACCTACAGAGCTTGTCCCTGAGTGAGTTTGTAGGTTTAAATGCCACCCTAATTCCTGCTTTATTTAGAATCCTACGTAGGGTCTCAGATGTCCCTTCTTTATATGGTATAACTGTCGATGACATATTCTCTCTTATTTATGTTATTATTACTAGTTTCACAATTCCTTTTATTTTTCTTTTGGCGTTTTTCAATCTTCCTAATGAATTTTAAAGGATATTTATTTAAAACCAACGCCTCTTCTATCTGTTTTATTTCATCATTAAGGTCTTTTTTTGTGCTACTTAGTGCCATTGCTCGGTTTGTTAATATCAATGATATTTCGGCTAACCCTGTTGGTCTGAATAATTTCTGAATTCTGCGTAAATATCTTGCTATCCTCATGAGAATCACTTTCTATAATTTGGTTATTAACTGAGCATAGATTTTTCTACTAACTAACTGCTACAGAAATATGGTTTCGTGTACAGATAATGAAAAAGTGTTTGCTTGCAATCTGATTAGTTGATTAGTACTGACCACTGGAATCCCTGGAACACATCACTTCACCATGGGAAAACTGCTCACGAGTCTGAACTACTGACACGTTTCTAGTTTCACTAAGAACATATTTGCAATAAGCTGTGTGAGATTTCGGCGTAGACATCATCTTGCATGGTATGATATGTGTCCTTTTATTTCTACTGCATATCACCAACAGTACAGTATGATATCGTTTCGTATGTTAGAGTGGTCCAAGTATAATGTGTGTCCAGCATAAGTGTTGCGTAATTTTGTCTATATTTTTTATCAGATAACATTTTCTTCAAACTTTTTTGGTGATTGTTAGCAAAACGAAACCGAATTTCAACTGTTTGTCAAGCCATGTCAAGTTATCTATGATGACTTTAAGGATTTTGGTACATCAAGGACTAAACGACCTTATGTCAAATTGGAAGCTCACGAAAACTCCGCTCAACATGATGACATCACAACAACTGACGTAACAATGGATTCCACTGTCAACGCAAGAAATTACAACATGAGAATGATAGAACCAACTGACGAGTGTATTGCAGTAACTGGGGTAAACGATCAAATCCTGGCAGATTCTCCCCTACTTGAAACCGCCTTAAAGCAAGTAAGTTGAAAGAAAAATTAGAATTACACTTAAATAAACTGTAACTGGTTCATGGCTGACTGTGGTACACAGAATATCTCTTGTTGGTCGACTTTGAAGGGCATTAGACAGTGACCTTCCCTCCTGATAATTAACTGTTCTAAAATATATTTAGTCAGAGTAATAAGTGAACAATGAATTTTTAAAATGCTTATCTGAATGTTTCATTTAGGGGGGAAATGAAAGCAAGCAAGCAGTTGTGGAGATAGTTGAGGGTGAGAACCAAGTGAAATGTACATATACCACTGAATTCTTGTGTTATACTTGGAACTAAAGGAACGAATAGTAATAGTGATTTGAGTGTTTTGTAAAATTTCTCTTTTAACCAGTCTACTGATATATTACGTCTTTCAAGACTTATTTCGTAAGTAAGTACTTGATGAATAAGAGGTAATTAGAATGGTTTGCAAATAATTCAAACCCCTGAAACATAGTAGAATGCACAGTTATGTCATGTCGTCAACTTGTTGGCGTGAAGCTGATAAGCATTATGAGATTTCAAAATACGATGCTGGCTATATTCCAATGGCAGTTAAGTAAACGTAATTTATATATCCCACTATATGAGTTATCTCTGGTCATTTAAAATCGCACACAGCTGAAATAGCTAACAGTCTCTGGCAGTTAGATATTCATTTTCACTCGGTAGCCTTCAAAATGGTGTGCATAATCTGTCGGTAAGCACGAACCCTATTTGTGTTATGGTATTTTCACGTGGCATAATCATGACGTTCCTAATTCATGCAGATGAATGATGTGCATTTATCTAGTGGTGACTTGTTATGTACAGCACTTGGATAACAGATTATTCAAGGTTTTATCTTTATTGAAAGAATAATTTGGCCGAAATGTACGAAAATTAGAAGATATATGACAGAAAACAGTCTGTTTGCCAGTAAGAGAAAGTAGCTCAGACGACAGTGAGGGCAATACATTATAAACAGACTGGAAGAACTTTGTTTCAATTGCGTTCTGAAATTAAAGCTTTACTAATCCTTGCCGTTCTTAGGATAACAGAGGTCACTTCTTGTTCACCCAATCAACAGATAATACATACAGTATGAATGATTGAAAATTCGACTACGTATACGACGAACCAGAAAGAATAATAAGAACCGTATAAATCATGTTTAAAAGTTATGAAGTACAAATTTGTTGCATTTGTGAATAACAAACTACCTTTATATCGTCAACCAGATAATAAAACTGTCTTAATAGGCAATACATATGATAGACAAATTAATGTACATTAACGCATTCATCTTTTGATAGGTGTTGCTTAATAAAGCGGTTCAACTGTTAATTTTCGTTAATTTTACTAAGATAAAATTTCGCCCTTCTTACAACATTAGTTTGACCATTGGATAGAAGAAAATAATCTGTATTGCTTCAAGAACGATCACTCTATAGTGAGCTGGAAGACTCAAGAAACAAACTCAGAGTCTCATTGTCCAGATCAGTTATCTCCTACGACTACAATGACAGCAGCAACAACAACAACAAAAATGGATTGTGACGAAAACCCAAGAAGTTTCGTTCTGCTGGTGGATGGACCGTATGGCTTGCGTTTGTCACTCCATCCAGAGACCACAGTAAAATCAATCACCTTAACAGAATACCCGTATTTTTATCAGTTTATTGATATCAAAAAGTCTTTCACCAAACTCTATGGATTAAATTCTATCCCCAAAACAACCGATGAAATGTTAAAATGTAAGTTGCTTTCTAAAAGTAAATAGTTTTTTGAACGATTTTCGTAAACTTCAGGTTCATTGTTGTAAGTGTATTTCAAAATTTCCACCCGCTTCACTTATCGAGGTAAAATAAAGGTTACCAACTGATATGTTAACTTTTTTGTACAACTAATTCATAATGCCCTGACTCAGATCCAACCTGTGAGGAATGAATTATAGATTGCACATTTCAAGCGGCCGTTATTCGTTTAGATCCTCAACGTGAATACCATTATGATTCTTACTTCAGATTCAATTGCATACTACTAAGGAACTCCAATTATGAAAAAGTACACATATTGAATTTCACTTTTGACCACAGTCAAACATGTAGAATTCAGGGCCAGTAGATCAATTGGGAAGCTGCGAAATATTTATTTTATTGAGCTTGAAAATGTGAGCATGTAAAAGATGCCAATCAGTGTCAAATTCGTTAACTTATCAAATAACGAGGAGTAGTGAATTGAACTCTTTCCCCCTCGCTGTCTTACCCGTCTTGTTAGCACAAAACTAAGTATAAAATGATCTCAAGATACCTACAGAACTGACAATATTCCCTACAGAAGTATGTTCTGTTTGAACTGAAAGGCAATAAGTAATGATGGGATCAGAATTTGAATATTTAGTAAGAGAATTAAACCACCTTACAAATGTGTAGATCCTGAATGACTGAGGTGGCTAGGAAATGTATTTTGCCCGCTAAATCACCGTCTCTCTCTGTCGCCAACAGTAGCTTAAGCACGGTTAATTTCTAAGAATTAGCTGTGATGAAATCAAACCTGGAGGTAGTGACGATTTATCTGGGTAAATAACCAGTATTTGAAGACTCCTACTGACATGTTGTCTTCATTCCCTATTACCTTTGTGATTCCAAACATCACTGCAGCTCCTTATAATATCCTTTCAACCACATATCATCCATTTCTTTCGCATTATTATCCACACGCTTGCTCATGTGTAGCAATTAGTAAAATGTATCTCTTTTCGTTTTATGCTTTTACTCCTAGCCAGTATACCACAAAATATTTGAGAAAGTGATTATGTGAGTACTCAAAGTGAATTATCATTCCTTTGATAAAACCCAAATTCTCTCATTTGTTAAGGCAATGTTTAAACTCTTCTTAAATTCGTTAACAAATAATATCTTTAAGTGTTTGGTCACTAGGAGTTTGACTGGTTTTATAGAGTATGAAAATGAATCCACCACTCATTAACGACTGAAAACAGGATGCAGTTGCCTGTGGAGAAATCGTCACTTGTTGGATCCATCACGTTGGTTGTGAAGACTTCCATTCGCTGATGGTACTGGATAGTGGTGGGAAATCGGATTCCAACCTGTTGGCTGAAAGGTTGACTAGTTAGCCTGATAGTTTGAAGTTCCTGAGTTAGATCTCTAATTGTCCGATATATGGGCGCTGTTTCATAACTAAAACCTATACTGCAGCAATTCCTTTTAAAGAGTATATTCTTCTTGATAGTAACCAATCGAAGGAAAAATTGTGAAATTTAAAAACGGCTGGTTTGTAGAAATTATATTTGTTTAAATTTCAGCAAAATTAAAACCAGCAATTCCAGTATTTCATCCGTAAACTGATTTCTTTCTCATGGAGGTGAATAGTTCACATATCTAGGAAAACTTTAAGTATTTCCCTAATTGTTGGTTTGCTTATCTCCTGTTACAAGTGATTACGACCGATTTGTTTCATACACTGACGCAGTATTGATGTGCATATTCGCCTGGCTGACGAATACCAGCCAGCATGAAACCTAGATTCAAGGTTTTCTGCCGACTATCTCAAACCATCCAATAACAACAATTCACAGTGCATTGTAATGGCGAGCCACCTAGCATGGTGGACACATTGTAAACTGTAGTGACAGATTTCACTCTACACCAAGGACTAGATGAATGACACTAGTTAGTATTATTGTCCAGTCAGACAATACGGTAAGAATGCTTAATCTCAACATCCATAGAAAAATACTGACAGTACAATGATTGTATCATTAATTTACTAACGAATTCTGGTATTTTTCTACAAAACCAGTTGGTGAGTTTTTCCAAAACAAGTCATTCTTAAACGGGAATTCGTAATACTTTATACTAAAGAAATGGCAAACACAATCCAAGGGAATAACTACTTTTTTTCAAACCTATGAAACAAGTTAGTCTGTATCCTATGATTTCAGGTAACATGAATTTATATTTTTGACATAGATGCATATCAGGCGAATGCTTGTATCAAAAGTAAAAAGATTTTCAAATCGCTGAGCGTGACAAGTCATCAGAAGAATGGAAACGATCATTATTCGCATTGTCAGAAGCATCTTTGACACAAAAATTCATGCGATTTCGATAGCTTGTTGCAGTCTCAAATATCAGTTATTCGTATCAGGTTAAAGGCTAGAAATGTCGATAAAAACTAGGTGTCATGAGATGTATTTCAAACACGTCACAATAACACACAAATTGATGACGAAGTGATATGATCTATTATTTCTCTTTTCATTTTCTTACAGAAGTGAGATCTAACAATTCATACACTGAACTTGTGACTAATATATTATTAATCATGGTTCGGCCTTCATGATTTTAATTGTTAAGTCAAATTAATCTCTGTATCTGTGATAGTAATCTATAAAAATGTGAGTAAATTCCAGTCCACTTTTTGACTTAGTACGAAAATGATTGTTTTCTAGTGACTTATTACCTTTTTGGTGTTTTTCTTTTTCTCTTCATCCACGTTTAACCTTATAGATTTGCAAATAGATGATGAATACTTACCACCTTCCTTAAATCATCACTTTACTGAATCGTTTTTCTTGCCGCCTCAGAATGATAAAGCTGAGTGTTTGTTAGCATGTGAAACTTCTGGCAGTCATTATGAATGTCAGTATTCGAGCCAGCATGCTGAAAAGCCCGAAACTACTTCCAGCAGTCAACGACGTCAGCCTAACTTTGCTGTTGCCAGTGAATCAGATGACGAAGATAAAAACTATGTTCAAATTAACTATAAATCTACTGAACCAGGTTACTGGCCTAGTCAACATTGTCAAGTATTGATTAAACTGGTCCGGAAAATGACTTCAGATGGTTAGTTGAACTGAACTGTACTATTCAAAGTTTGTTTCTGTTAAGCATACCCTGCTTTGCGATTCTGAAATATCTGTTTATTGTTAATATATATTTATAGATGTGAAACACTTCAATCCAATCCTCCTTCATATTTGTATGATCCGCAAAAGAAATCCGTTATGAAGATAAGAGAGTTCCGACCTTACTTAGTTCATTTAATTTTATCGAACTTCTGTGATAACGGAATAATCAGTGATGGAATAAAGATATCAGAGACTGATGATTACCAAATAAGTGTTTTCATATGTTTCATAATACCTTTTTAATGCACACTCACTACTGTTATCGCATGCCACGTAACATGTTTTGTCGTAAAAGTCAAACTTTTAGCACCGAAAAGTGGGAACACACCAATGACCTTAAAACGCATCGGCCACATGAAAACGGCGATTTTTACGTTATAGGAAACATAAATATGTGAAAATAATAAATAAAAATGCATGAAAATGTTGCAGAGGATGCCCTTCTCTGACCTGTGACAAAAATGCCTCCCCGATTTGCATTGTAGTGTCAATAAAGTAATTAAAACACATTCTATACATGTATTCATCTAGGTCGTCTAACACTAACCCTAATCTTCCCTTAAGCAAACTCTAACGCGAAACCCTCCCTAAACTAACTCTGATCTAGCTCAAACCAATCCTTAGATTTCCCATCTTTCGTTAACCTGGCCCTAACCTATTCTTAGTCTAAGCCTTAACTCAGTCTTTCCCAAACCCAACCTAAAAACTTACTAGATATCCTGTATAATATTAAAACACTTCATTGAGGATATTCTATTCATGATTATAGTGTTATCTTCCTGGTTTCACCAACTTGCTGACTGAGCGTTCCGAGGTCATTGGTGCGATTGTACTCCTATGGTGCTTAAAGTTTAACTTGGCCATTTTATCATGCCTTCAGATGGAAAAGAAAAAGAAACGGTTAATGTTCCCTTCAGTATCAGACTAGTTAGCACAATCCCATAATCGTGTCAACTTCATATAGTTAATCGAATTGACCATGATAATTAGACTGGATGGTTTTAGGAGATATCTCATAGAATGTATAAGAGAACACTGTCTCTATATGCAGGTTTTTTATCAGGTTAGATTGAAAAATGGTCATTGTAACTTACTAACCTAACCACCGGTTAACACAGGCATACTGACACACACACACACACACACACAGAAACCCTTGAGCTTATACTTAACATCAAGTAATCCAACTCTACATTTCTTCAATAGTCACGAAGAATTATGAAAAGAACTAGCAAACAATTAGGTCAGATAGAACATTGCTAAAAAGAACTATTCACCAGTGCTCATTCAAACAACACTTCTCTAGTATAATCATTTTACAACGCTAGTAACAGCTGTTAGAGTATGTAAATAATGTGAATGAGCATTTTATTTTCAAACTGTCAGGGTAAGTGTTTTGTTTTTCATTTGCTTGTCTACATATTCACTTTATTTATATATTTATTTGGCTATTTAGTTACCTACACGCTTGTTCCACTCTCTTCGCATAACTTTTTATTATATGACCAACGAAGTGGCCAGTAGACAGAGAGTTCCTCTGAAAGAAATCTTCACCTGTAAACATTCATGATAATAATAGAATGAATAACGACAATAATGAAAAATAACAATAATAATTAGTGAAACAGGTTAATAAGTTGAAGGTAAAACAGTATACAATAAATTGACTGACAGTAATTACAATAAGCTGATTCTCCTGGCCAATAATCTTCATGCCATTGACATGGTTTGCTTAAGGCTGAAATGAACAGTTACATGGATTAGAAATGCACATTTAAATTGATTGTACAGTAATTTATTTACATTCAAAACTAAAAATTATTCGTTAGGACATTAATAGGCGAGAACCTATTTGAATTAGCCGAATGTCGGTGTGAAATTAAGAACTAGTGGGCATCAGTTCATACCACTAACTTTCACATGTTGATTATCATTCATAAGACTCTGTAAGGCAGCGAGCAAGCAGACTTAAATAGTCACTGTTTCTTCTGTGAATAAATTGTGTCTGTGGCTGAAATTAGTTTGATCTTTCTGTGCAATGCAGTGGTTAAGACCTGATGCAAATAATATTGAAATTGCTTAAATTATAACTAAGTTTTGAAATGAAAAGTGCAGTGCAACAAACATACCAGTTAGTACAGAATTTAGCTTAATACAGATTATTTCAAAATACCAAATACATGAAAACCACTGTTGATTGCTTGACAGAATGAAGTAAACTGTTTCATTCTGGATAAGTTTTTGGATGGTATTAATAAAACGATTCCTTACACTTCTAACCCATCCCCAAATCTTATTTACCACTGCTCATATTTACTACTTTCATTTTTCATTTGCCTACAAAACGTATAGCTCTGTCCACACAATTTGTTCTCTTAGCTTTTTCTTATGGGGCAGCATGAAGTAAGGAGCTTGTTAGTTGAATTTGTTTGCCTTCGGTTAGTTGTATTGACAAAAAAATTTGGTTTGACAGTTTGACATCAGCCATTGAAAAAGCAAGTTTAGAAAACGCTCACTGGCAGATTAGTGTAATTCTGTGAAAACAGATTTTCACTGCAATGTCAGTTATTGTAAGAGTGCGTCTATCTTTTTAATAGAACATAGGCTATATATGTGTAAATAGTTGAGCAAAGTAGGAAGACGTTTACCGCATAGTTTGCGTGTTAGATTAAACAGACTTCAAATGAAAGTCAACTGTTTGTCACACAGTAATCGCTTAGACTGGTAACCAGCTCTCCCTCTCTCTCTCTCTCTCTCTATATATATATATATACATATATATATATATATCAACTAGTTCCAACTTTCATCAAGATTACTGGTCAGTTAGTTTAATGAAAACCTTCGGCATATAGTAATACCAACAAAAGTATTTCTTTCGAAGAGTTTCTGGAAATACTTAGATTAAGGACTGCAGAAAAAATGTGTTTCGGGAAGAAGATAATTTCAGTGCCTAGCCACTAACCTTTCCTTAAGTATTTGTTAACTTTGCATTCTAGGGGTCACATCGAAATAGCAAGAATATAAGCTTCATCCATTGATTTAGCTTATGATGAGAATTTTCAAATACCGTTTGGATTTAAACATACACAGTCATATCATTTACATAGTTATTATTCAAATATACAGCCAGGACTAGTTATTTAGGTGTGATTTTATTTCTTACCAGTTGTGGTGAAACATTTAATGATTAAAAAGTCAGAAGAAAGTATGTAAAAGGTGGATTAAAATCGTGACCACCTCATTATTTAAAATGAAAATCTTTGGCTACTCGCAAGTAATGAAAAACCTTGTATAAAAATTATTTCATAAGAAAGAGATGTAAATGGCGAAGAAATTTTTTTCTCTATGATTTATTTTCATGAGAAAATAAAAAGAAGAAAAATTATAGTAAGAACTTAACTCTGGCCACGGTAGGGCGAGTGAAGGTATGTAGCGCTTTCGAATTCCGAGGTCCGGTTTCAGATCCCGAATACCTAATGCTTCGACTAGATAGTTCACTGGAAAATCTGGAAATTTGCCACGATGTTTCCGTTTCATCTTTACACACCATCAACTGCATCAGACTCAGTATTTATTATTATTGTTCCCTTGGGTTCCTAGTGGAACATAGGGCTTCAACTGCACGCCTCCACTTGCTTCTGTCTTCTGCTGTACTTTTCACTTGCGTCCATGTTATTCCATACTGTTTCATCTCCTCCTCACACGATCTCCTCCATGTCACCCTTGGACGTCCCACTCGCCGCTTCCCTTTCGCGTTCCACTCGAGCTATGGCCTGACGCGCGATGTCACCCAGCGGCCTCCTCAGCGAGTGTCCAATCCATCTCCACTGCATATTTGTTGGGCGATTGGTTCCTGTTTCGTTTGTTCCCATAGCTTCTTGTTTGTGATTCTTTCCGGCCATCTAATCTTCAGTATGGAGCGAAGACAGCTGTTGATAAAGGTCTGCAACCTGTTGAAAATATTCTTGGTGACCCGCCAAGTTTCTGATCCATATAGCAAAACTGACTTGACGTTTGTATTGAAAATCCGAATTTTGTTGTTGATGCTGAGGAGTGACGAAGATTTCCAGATTGGTTTCAGGTTGATGAATGTGTTTCTCGCCTTCCCGATTCTCGATTTGACATCCTCGTCCGTTCCTCCTGTGGTTGAGACAATGCTCCCCAGATAAGTGAAAGAAGTAACCTCTTTCAAATCCCTGCCGTTGATGGTGATTAGCGTTGGATGTTGCTGCTGTTGTTGTTGTTGGTTGGTTATTTTCATAACCTCCGTCTTGTCTATGTTCACCTGGAGTCCTGTCTTTGCTGCTTCTTCGACCAGTTTGTCGGATTTTGCTTGTAAGTCTTCGATTTTGTGTGACATCAAACATAAATCATCCGCGAAATCCAGGTCTTCTAGGTTCTTCACTTCGGTCCAGGATATCCCTGTCTTCTCGTTTCCCACTGTCTGACGCATAATCCAGTCCACCACAATTAGGAATATCATTGGTGATAATAAGCACTCTTGTCTGACTCCTGTGTTTACTCCAAACGCCTTGCTGAGTTTTCCGTTGTGGATCACTTGACATGTGCCGTTGTCGTACAGTTAATGAATAAGGTTGATGAATATTTGGGGTACGCCGTAGTACTTGAGTAGTTTCCAAATTACTTCGCGGTCAACGCTGTCGAAGGCCTTCTCAAAGTCTATGAAGTTGAGGTAGAGGTTTGATTGCCATTCCATGCTTTGTTCGATGATAATGCGTGGAGTTGCAATTTGGTCAGAACATGATTTGCCTTTCCTGAATCCAGCTTATTCTGGTCGGAGTTCTGTATCCAGTGTGTCCTTGATTCTCTCCAGGATGATGCGACTCAGGATTTTGCTTGGCGTCGACAGGAGCATGATTCCTCGCCAGTTCTTGCAGAGTCCCAGGTCGCCCTTCTTTGGTAGTTTCACTAGATAACCTTTCCTCCAGTCAGTAGGCACCTTTCCCTCCTTCCAGACCTTTCGCAGTAGTGGCGTCAGCATATCTGCTGTCGTCTCTGGGTCCGCTTTCAGTGCTTCAGGGTGTATTCCATCTTGTCCAGCTGCTTTTCCAGCTTTCAGAAGCTTGATTGCATTCATGACTTCAGTTTTCGTTGGAGGATTGGTGTCCACTTGCAGTTGTGTACGTGCTGTTGTTGGTATTTCAGGACGGGTTATAGGTGGTGGTCGGTTCAAGAGTCCTTAGAAGTGATCCGCTCATTGTTTAATCTGTCTTTCTTCTTTGGTAGTTGGGTTCCCTTGGCTATCTTTTATAGGTTTCACTTGTGTTGATCTCTTCCCGGATAGAGACTTGGTTATCTGATATAGTGTCCTCAGGTCCCTTTTGCCTGCTGCCTTCTCAGCTTCAGTGGCCAGATTGTCGTAGAATTGTCTTTTGTCCTTCCTGGCACTCTTCTTCACTTCTTTGTCCAGTGCTGTGTAAGTTGAGCTCAGCGTCTCTTTCTCTGGTCCGTCATTGCATTGAATCATTTTCTCTTTCACCATTCTCCTTTCCTCTATTAGCTTCCAAGTGTCCGTTGAGAGCCATTCCTTGTCTTGTTTCTTCTTTCTTCCTAAAACCGTTGAGCACGTTTCGTTGAAAATTACCTTCAGAGAGTTCCAGTGGTCTTCCACGGATGACTCCTCAGTGGTGCCACGTAGTGTTTCCTGTTTTGCTCTGACAGTTGCAGTGAAAGTGTCCCTTGTGGTTGTGTCCTTCATTTTTTGCGTGTTGAACTTGCATTGTGGCCTATCCCCAGCTATCCTCGAGGCTTTTAGCTTCACCTTGAAAGTTCCTTGTACTAGATAGTGGTCTGAACCCACATCAGCTCCTCTCCGCGATCTTGTGTCCAGTAGGCTCCGTCTCCACTTCCTTGAGATTGAAATGAAGTCTATCTGGTTTTTGGTGTGTCCATCTAGTGAAATCCATGTTGCCTTGTGTATATCCCTGTGTTTGAGCACACTGCCACCAATCACCAAATCATTGAAGGCGCAGAAGTCTGAGAGGAGTTCGCCATTTTCGTTCATTTCACCGAGGGCCTCCCGACCCATGGTGAGTTCTCTTCCTGTATTGTCTCCTCCCAGTTTCGCATTCATGTCACCCATCAGGATTTTGATATCGCTCTTTGGGACGTTGTCCGTTACTGTTTGTAGTTGACTGTAGAAATCCTCCTTCTTCTCTTGTTCTGAGACGTTTGTAGGCGCGTAGCACTGAATGATTGTAACCTTTTTTCCTTTTGAGTTGAACCTGGCTGTCATTATCCTGGAGGAGATTGGTTCCCACTGCATGAGAGCTTTAGTCGCTGTTGGTGACATCATGATGGCTACTCCCTCGGTGTGCTCGTGATTGTCCTCTGGGTGACCGGAGTAGATTATTGTCTCTCCAGTTGGTAGTTGGCACCTTCTGCATCCGTTCCATCTGCTCTCGCAGATTCCCAGCACTTCTATTTTATATCTCCTCATTTCTGCGGCTACCAGGGTAGCCTTTCCAGCTTCGTACATTGTACGAACATTCCACGTCCCCATCCTTATTTTCGCTTTCATCGAAAGAAGGCACATCGGCTGACTGGCTTCCCGAAGGCTTTCACCAGCCCGCGTCATTTCACTTCCCCGATTCCAGCAAAAAATAAGGTCACTATTTGTAGTTTTAGAATTTTGAATATATTTGTGCGTTGAAGTTTTAGTAGCAATTTGGTTAAGTTTTGGGGGTGGAGTTGCTAGCACCACGCCCCAACCCTCCCTCTTTATCCAGGCTTGGGACCGGCTAGAATACTAGTGACCTAGTAATCTAGGCGAGGTTATCAGACTCAGTGCTTTTGGTCTAAGGGTTTCACGGCTGTTCTAAGTAAAGAATCAGTGCAGATGAGAAGAGTTGGTTTGGCCGCTGGTGTGTCAACGTATGGAACGGGTAACTACTTAACACTCAATCATATCACAACTTTTGGTAACTGAAGTGAAATCACTAGATAAACGATAATTAATTTTTCACTCCACTTCGTAAACATCTGACCTGATGATCTATGGGCCACTAATTCACATCGTATCATCAAGTAATATATATAACCCATACTATAAGTTTGAGCTTCCAAATGAAGTAGTGACATGTCAGAGTAATTTTTGATATTAGATAAACATGAAGAATAGTTTTCTCACTTATTCATAAATTTACTTTCTCTACAGGAATGAAGTGGGGAGACTTTGAAACAATTAATCGTGAATACTATCCAGCAATAATGTAAGATTTTAAATGAATTACTGTAAATAATATTTTTAGCTTAAATAGAATTGATTAATATATGACTTGTTATCATTGATTTGATACGATTAGTGCCACTACGTATCAATAGTAACCATGACCTAAGAATGGAAACCATGGCAAGAGAAACTTAAAGTCAAAACGGTCACCTGCAACTATCCGTCGGCATAGCATCGATAAATGAGTTATTGGATGTCCATCCATTGGCAAAGAAACATAACGACCCTGGGTTCTGATGAATTTCAAGATAATTCAAAAAACAAAAATTCTATTCTTCTTGGTCCAAAGCAATTTTATAGTTGATGTCATCTCGCTTCAAGTCTCTTAATTTTCGCACCTGTATCATGAAGGGATTAGATGTCAAGTGAGAAGGTTAAAACCAGTTATATCATTTCTATACTGAATCGAAAAATTCTTTAAAAAATTGTCATCATAAATGAGAAGTAATAAGTGACAAAAAAGATGTGCAAGTGAACAACAACATGCCCACTAGATAGTGAAGGCGCCACTATAGCAGTTCCAGAACAAATGACATCTTATATGCCCACATAAACTCTGCGTATAAATTTGGACTCCACGGGCTCTACCGCTGTGCTGCATATTTTCCTCTGCGTTGTATAACGACAAACGGGAATTTCGTGGAATTTATACCTTCTAATTAGTCAACCCATTTAAGTGCTTAACCATACAACTAGACTCCCTTTCCTGCCCAAGCAGTTTCTTTGACCGGTACGGTTGAAGATGCCAAGAAGTGATACCTTAAACTCTCCTGATATTGGCACCAACTGAGTGACAGTACTCATACGTTTTAAGCTGGTTGTCTGCTTTATTTCTACTGTACTCTTTCAAATAAACATATCACAAATTCAGCGACAGTATGAGAGTTTCTCGACTGGTTTACTTGTATGGAATTGTCAATCCTCCATGTTTCATAACATCCTCCACACCTATATAGAGTAAGCTATGGAGCTAAAGTTTAAAAAATACATGCAGAAATAGATGTGCAGTCATGAATCCTTTGTTGCTTTATATGAAGTGTATGACTATTTCCTGTCAGTAGACAAACTTCGAATGCCCAATTACACTATATAAACACTAATTTTTACATACTAGGTTATCCACTATTTGTTTTTTGACTCAAAAATATCTTACAATAGAATGAGATACTGTCATCAGCTTAACGCTTAATCCATACTTTGCTATGACACAGAAAAATGAAAAATATTAGATTCAGTAAAGGGATTGCTTTCCAGTATCTGCATCAATGAAACTATACACAATACTAATGAGTGAAATACTATTAAGTGAATTAATACTCGTCATTTTATTTTCAAACAACATAGACGCAAATCAGACGATATCAGTGATAATGTTGTCGTTCGGGCCCGGGGATTACCATGGCAGGCTACAGACTTGGAAATTTTTCAGTTTTTTAGCGGTATCAATATTGCCAAAGGTGGGATATCATTAGTACTGAGTAAGATTGGTCGAAGAAACGGAGAGGCGCTAATTCAATTCGCCGATTCAGAACAACAAGGCTTAGCTTTACGAAAGCATAAGCATCATGTTGGCAAAAGATACATTGAAGTGTACGCGGCAACAGGTCATGATTTTGTGTCCGTAGCTGGAGGTAAGTGTAAAGCGTCTTTTTGTAACTTAAAAACAGTTAGTCCATCTAACGAATTTCGAAAGTGTTATTAAAAGACTGAATTTATTTGAAAAATCTGGTATATTTGGGCAATGCATTTCGAACAGTCTGATTACACATTTACTTATCAAGTGAATTCATTTGAAAAATGCAAGCCTAATTAGAAAAAATTAAATGATGAGGGGTTTAAGAATAAGAAGGATAATAGTTATCATTACTTTTGGCAATGTTATCAGATGAGAACTATCATGGTAGGTTAAGGGTAATACTAAATTGTTTTTTACACAAAGAGGAGGGGACTTGGTTTTTGCGGATGTGACATAATCAGTTGTGTGTTGTTGAGGCTTGAGGTAAAGCACGTTTTTGACTCTTCAGTAATTATAAGCCAGGTTGCATATTGTGACTTACGAATGACCGAGATTAGCCTTTGTCTTTAAATCCTACCATTTATTTCTCCATATTAAGGTAATTTCATATAGACACCTTTCTATGGGATAGAACCGATTGTGGGTTTTGAAATTAAATGACCTCTACACAGATTCGAAAACTTCAAAGGATATTTATTTTTGAAGATTCGATCTGTCATTATTTTATCGTCATTATCTGTAGCATCAGCTGTACAAACTTGCTGAATTCTTCGGAATAAACACTCAACCAAGTCTCTCTAGTATTGTAATAGATAATTTAAATACTGCACTGTTTAGGCAGGCTTTCTATAAATCGACTGCTTTATTGATGCATCCTCTCTCTCCTCCATGAGTATGTCTAGGAATAAAATGTTTTTGCAGCTTTCTTCCCCATATGTAAGACCTGTGGAATTTTTTATAGAGTTAAGTCTATCCAGTAGACCTCGGCGAACGTAGGTGGCAGACTACCAACTTCCTCTGTAGCTAAACACTGAATTGGTATGCATCATAAGTATGATATCAAAACAACTTTCAAGATTATTTATAAAAACAGTCAGGGCCTCCTAATGAAATAAACAGATGTGATAGTTATCAGTGAAATTAAGCCCCTTCCCCTTTGTGTACAAAAATAATTTATTATTGCCCCTAACCGACCATAATAATCCTTATCTTATTTTACAAGCAAACGTGTAATCTGATTGTTTGAAATGTATTGCCCAAACACACCACATTTTTCAGATAAACTCCGTCCTGTAATAACGCTACCGAAAGTTTTTGTAACGTAGCTTTTATCCTTCTTCTTAGTAGTAACAAGAAAAGACACCAAATGATTTCCAAGAGTTTATTTGCGGGGATTTGATTTGTTTCAAGTTTGATGGCGGATTAATATCGATTAGAGAATTCATGGTTCATTGTGTAAGGTTCAAGTAGCTGAGTTGTCCACGAACTCGCCTTTTAACCCGAAGGTGCCTGCTTCCGATGAGTTCCGTAATAAAACGAAACAGCTGTCCAGTACTTCTTGGTTTTCAGTGGTTATCTAACTGATATCAACCCGTGATCAAACCTGAAGCGCTAAATAATGTTAAAATGGAGAGTTTCTTGACCTATGACTAACGGGAAGTCAATTTTTCACGATGTCTCTATTAATATATGAGTCACCAAGATCCATGGAAAGCATTAAATTAATGATTTAATTTTTATTTCCTGATAAGCCGATGATGAAAATAGTAGAACATATATATATATATATATATGATATGCTGACAAATCAAAGTGATAGGTATTCCCGTATCTTCACTAAAATAACTTCTCTTAAGGTGAGTGATAAGCATAAACTTCTTACTAAGGAAAGGTGTGTATAAGTAGTCTGAGAGTGTTGTTATGACGTCGCCACATTGTGCACTCGTAACAGATCTTGCCTAATGAAACTAGACATCGGTTCACTAAACCAACAAATGAGCTTGAGTTCTGCTACTGCCTAAGTAGTAACACATTTATATTCCTAAAGAAGAGGAGTTACAGGAAGGGAATGCTGCAAAAACTTCAAAAATCTTATCAATTTATAGTGAAGAAAGAAAAGAGAATGATACTATTCAGTTACTGAATCCAAGGTTTACTGCTTACCCATGCCTTACATTAAGGGATTATTACACAACGTTACTAACTGTAGTCATTTTCTAACTGTGAGGTGGAGTATTTTCTTATTGTTTTAAACACCTATCTATGAGTGTCGAAATTCTGGAACTAAGATAAAATGGGTTTCTCTCAGTGGGTGCTTAACATCAAGAAGGAAATGAGAGGTGAAAAAAAGCTGTTTCAGACTTTGAGCAGTTCATAGAGTTAGGTTGTTACACTAATTCGAATGAACCAAGATTAACCAATTCTTGTAGAACTTGCTTACAGAATTCACATGCGGATCACATATTAGTATCTGAATGTTTTAGGCCACCAAGGAAAGTTATGGTAAATTTTCATTTCGAAATGTGTAATCCGAAAATAATATATCTAATCCGGAGTCACGAGTACCTGATTTTCTGAAGGTATGGATATTGCATAATTTAACAGCTATAGCTACTAACGAACATGTTCTTTGCAAAAATAAGTAAATTTTATATTCTGAAATTGTCCATCAACTTTTCCATTTGAAAAGCGGTCACTCGTATATATTTTCTTTAACAGGTGAAACTGAAGAGGCAGAAAAGTTTCTTGGAAAACTGACGACACCCAATCAAACGCTGATTAGAATGCGTGGTCTACCCTACACAACAACAACAGAACAAATTGTAAGTTTTTAGTACATATCATGTGGCTATTTAGCGGTAATTTGAAGACATTCTGAAATTTTCGAGACATTCAACATAGTTTAATGTCTGCTATAAGCCTCATAGAATGTAATTATGTTCCACACATTGTCAAATGATTTGTCTATGCAGAATCGTCTGTTTAACACACATCCCTCGTAGATGAGGGTACTTTGAATGTTCACTTGACCATTTGATGTCGTTAATGTTAACATGTTTTGTTCACTCGAAAGAAGTCATCAAAGTCTTGTTTGCATCATCAGTGGATTCCAAGATTTTTTTCGTTAACTCTATTTTCAGTTCACTAGTCACCGGTTGCTACAAAAAATTGTCTGTGGTGCTCCTTGCCTTGTCTTCTGGACATGATGATCACCTACACTGACTCACAGTAGTACACAACCAAACGGAAAAAGCGGTAAAACTCCCCAAACGTGATGTTTGCTGTGCTTCCATTTGTCGTTTAGTGAAATCATCTAGTAAATACCAGGGGTTGTAGACAACCGGGAATGGTGTCACTTGTTTACAGTTGAGATTATAGCAATCAATCTTTTTCCAACTTACATGTATTATAGTGAAGCTTGAATCTACAAACACTTCATTCACTACTAGTGGGTTTTTTCATTAACACAGTCTTTATCCTTTGAAGACAGTGTATGCTGAAATCAGTACAAACGAAGATTACCACAATATTTCTACTTGGTATAACCGGATCAAATCAACAAAAGTCGTTTAGAATTCAATGAATCCGTTTTACTTCAGTGGTAATAAAAACCTATAGTGGATACTAAACAGCAACATGGTTGTTGAAGCCCACTTTTGAGTGAAGAAATGTTCTCACTAAAAAGAGAAACTTTGAAACAATTTTTTCGGACAAGAAATGCTCCACATTGGAATAAGTGAAATAAGACTCAAACTGACAAACAGGAATTCCCAACTGTGGATATAATTTGCTCAAATATAGTTGATTATTACCAGGAAAGTAGCTAAATGAGAAGGATGGTCTGTCAATACAAACAGAAAGTCTTTACGATATCACTATAATACTTTACATACGTACCACGGAAAAAAATTAATCACCCTCCAGATATATTTCTTCACTCCTACTGTCTCTCCTTACTGATTACGGTTGTGGTAGGGAGTTTGAACATAGAATGGCTACCTGCATCCTGCATATTTCCAGATGATTAAATAAACTAGAATGTAATTTAACTAGGATTCAGAAATATTCTGATTTGTATGATTAGTCTAATAGCATGCTGGACACATTCAGTCATTTGGACAAGATGGATTTTTTGAACGTTCTCCCTTCTTTTAGACTGCAAGCATACTCCCTTACAAGTGAAAGAATCTTCTGTGTACATCGTAAATCTACCAACAGTTCAGTCTCAACTTAAAACATAATTATTCAGGAACAAACAAGAAGTCAAACAGAAGATATCTTTTCAACGATTTCATTCTCAATACTTATACAATAGAAATGTTTATACACTTTAGTTTGACAAGTTAATACAGTTACGAGTATTACCTATTTGGATAGAGTGACAAAATGGTATAAAAATTTACAAGTGTGAGAAGAGATGAAGATTAATCACAAACAGTATAGAAACTAGAGGCTTTGAAATACGTTTGGGTAATGTAAGGTGTATTGAAAGTCATCCTGAACTAAGAATATTCTTCTCAGTAATTTACCATCTTCAGTATCTTACAATTTTAAGGTGTAGCATTATAATATCTATTATAATTGAAAGAACCTGAAGAGAAATTACTGAGACGAATATTCTTCGTTCAGAATGACTTTTAATTCATAGTATGGGAATATTTCACACTATTAAATCTTGCAGTGTAAGATGCAGTCACGGTATGTATAGCAATATTTGTTATAATATGCAACTGTATTAACTAGTAGAATGAAAGCGTATAGAAATTTCAATTTAACAGCTATTGAGAATTAAATGTCAAATAGATGTCATCTGTTGAGCTCCTCTCTAGTGTCCTAATGAGTTTTCACTATAAACTCAAGTTGTTGCAACACATTTTTCCAATATGTGGTAATGCAGCAACTTACTAGAGAGGATTGTCAGAATAAAATTTCCGAACAAAGCAAGAGCAATAAATTGAGCAAGGCAGCATGATATCGTTTTATTTCTTTGACTCTGGTCAGCTGCACACAACTTGAAACAGTTTTAATGTCAATGTTACAAAGTGTTGACATACTTCAGTCATTTGGTTAGAAGCTGTCAACCATTTGTGCTACGTAACTGATTACAAGAAGAGCTGAAAGAAAAGAACCTTTGGCTGTCAGTAGAATCGCTAGTGGCATTAGTAAACGTACAACAATAATCCAGAGTCACGAATGGAAGTCTGACAAGGGGTGTAAAATCTTAGCAACAAATGTTACGTAAAAGTTGCAAGTTTCTATGATTGGAAATGATTAAAAACATTAAGCAGTTGAGGAGAGATAAAATATTCAGGTAAAGTGTACGAATGAAATAATTTGGTGAATGGTGACTAGCAGTATAATCCAGCATGGGCATTTCGTCCCATTCGGAACTCGTCATCTGGATGTACCTGCATGTCTCAACAAGTTGTGGTGTTTGAAACAGTGAGCAATATGTCTCAGTGTGAACACCATCAACCACTGGGGAATATAGATGCATCTCATTGACGAGTCCCAAATATAACAGAATGCGCTACCTGGATCCCACCGCTCGTCGCTATCCACGAAATTAATAAAAAAATTGTTACGCTGAATGGCAGATTAGTTTTGCATGGTAAAATACATAGTGTATATGTTACACAGTAGCAGGGCTGAATGCATTTACAAAATGTAATGAAATGTGAGATCATGATGGACATAATACAGTGTGGTGTTAGTGTTAGGTGAGTGGCTCGTACAAAAAGCATACATTAAACAGGAGATGGTGAGAGTGCAGCGAGCAGTGAATCATGGAATGAAACAGATGGAGGCACATATTAAAAAAGAGATAGAAAATTTTGCACTAGCCACTCACCAAACACCTTTTACACCCTCGATCTGACTTGCCGATTTTCCTTCCCCACATTGTGTGAATTATTATCTAGTGTTGGTTTGCAGGGATTTGATTGGTTACAAGTTAGATCAGTAGTTGGCATCAGTTAGAGAACCAACATGACTGTTATGACCAATCGACATCATCGTCTCTGATTTCACAATATTTTTTAATTGAATTAATGTCAGTAAGAAGTTTGAGCAGTGTGGAATAGATCAAATAAACTATAATTATATTTCAGTAGTTTATACACAATGATAGGGTTTTTTGTTTTTGGTAATATTTCGAGCAAAATCACTGCCGGTGATCACACCAGCTGTTGGAATTGTTTTATTTTTGAATGAATTTAGCCCAGTATGTTTGTCACACAAATAATATTTATTTTGTCACTCCATAACTAATCTGTTAATCCACGTAAAAATGTTTCCACCACATAACTGACTAGTGTTAATACGTTAAATATAAAATTTGGCAGGTTAGGTCTATAAAACAACAGCATTTAGGAAGTAATACTGTATTTTAATGTTTGACTGGTGAAGTCTTAATCCTTGGAAATGGCTTTGAGGGAATGATACATTGTGTACCCTTTATGTTTGTCCTTTATCCTATCCATTCTTGTTGTTCAGACTGTAAAGTTATAAATCCATTATTATTATAACATAAATAGCCTACAAAGGCATGTGAAAATTATGTTGAAAACTGTATTGGGGTACATGTGTAATATGGAGTGATAGTCCGTTATTTAATATTGTTTAATGAACGCATATAAAGATGTTAAGTCATTCAGAGCATAAGATAAAGTGTGAATAGACAAATGGGAGGAATACTAATGCATTTATAGTCAACAGAATATAAGTTTCATTGGCGTGTGGGGGTGAGTTACCGTGTGCAAGGAAAATGATTACCACAAAATTCATACAAACAAATATCAGAAAATGGGGAACACTGAATGTAAGTTGAAGCAAGGCTGACAGATATCAAGTGTAGTGATAAAAGAGGTTAAATTGTGGACTGCAATAAAATACTAGAGTCATAATAAGCTTAGTGTAAATTACAAAAGGTTGATACATAATAAAGGTACTAATGGAGTAAAGTGAACTTGGTGAAAAGGAATAAGAAAGGCATAATACGACATGAAAATATGGATGTTTATTTCCCTGCTAACCTTACAGTAGGCCAGGGTAAACGAAGTCGACGGAAGTGCTTCTTTTGCACACATAGGTCAGGTATTTTCTTATTAATCTCCCGCTCCCGTTGTAGCTGAGGCGTAATTGTGTGGTAATCGATAGACAACCGTAAATGACTCATCTATTTTGTTGTGGTGTTCACTGTCTACTAGATGAGACAAAATGACACTGTTTATAGCTTTGGTTACACTAAGCCAAACAGGAACATGTTCACGGGCATGAAAAGATAAATTCCTCTCAGTTCGACCTATATAAATAGCTCCACATGAGCAGTTGAACTTGTATGCACACACCGATGTGGTCATTTCCGGTAATTTATTTTTGGTGCACTGTGTCAGTAACGGCGCGGTTAAGAAACTGATGTGTAGTTTTGCAACAGTGAAAGTTCTTTCAACTGGTCTGATCAACCTGCGGCTTAATATATCACTGTATACATCACCTTTGGAATGTACTCTTAAATAAAGCTTTTTTCTTATTTACCCTATCACGCTTAATTTTATCAGTTCTTTTGGAAATATACTTCTTTACAAAATTGGTAGGGTAACCATTTTGTAGCAGGGTATTTTTAAGATTTTTCGATTTCATCTTCAATAAAATCTTCAGTACATAGGCGCCTAATTCTATGAATAAAACAAAGAATCAAGTTCCACTTATATTGTACGGGTACGAAACTATGGACATGTATACACTGTCCATTCCATGTTGCTTTTCGGTACATGTTTCACTTTAACATGCCGTCTGGTCATTCAGATGGCCTTCAAAAAAG